TGATAGTAGCTTAACTGTCGAGATACAACTTCACTGGTCACAAATAAAGATGATAATTAATAGGCATATTTATGACGAATATGATCATGAAAATTCAGAATCATAAAAAATTTAATAATATTGATTATGGCTTTTAAATTTTACTTTATTTAATGAACCGGTTCTGATAAATCAACAAATTAATTTTCATTTGTAATCTATAAATGGTATTGAAATTTGGCATTATGTTAATATGATGGTGTTTACTGCTAAGTTTACCCAGTAATTTGTGATGAAATGAGTGACATTAACCTGTGACTCAACGTCAGAATACGGTCTCGCAACATTAAACAAACTTATTATTGTTCAAAATTTACATTAAATTACTTCGAGATGTAATACGACGACAACGCGATATCGAAGACATTACACGTTATGAACGTTTTGATCTAAATTATGTAGAGTAGGGACTTGGTTGAGGAGGATCAGAAATTAATCTATCATATCATAGGCTACCATATCATGTATCATTTTTACAGATTATAGGTGTCGAGCTGTAAAAAAACAGAGGGTTTTCTAGCCAAAGAAAGCCGCACTGTGGCCCGCTGGCCGGAATTTGGTTATACAAATCTGGGGCAAAATTTGCTCATTTAACAAATTTCAATTTAGTTCAAATATCAAACTATCAATTAGACACAGATCAAAACAAATTATATTTTAATAATCTAATGACTTTTATAATGCAATTCCTTTGCATATTCATGTTCTACTCTTACAAAAATGTAATAAGTACATATAACGGACTTTATATTACAATCCATTGCTTTGCATCAAGTTATTTCATTAAAATGTATTTATACATTATTCTATGCATTGATTCTGTCAACTGCTGATCTAAAAGGTGAATATTATTAAATTTACCTTTTTCAACATTTTGTTCAATAATTTCTATTTTTATCATCAATTAACATTGTTTCATTAATAATGATAATAATATAATCGCCGTTTTGGGTCCATCATGGACGCATTTTCAAGATCAAGTGAACAATAATTTTAAAATTAAATTAAATTTTTTATTAAAATTGTTTAATTTTAATATATGTCTAAATTAAAATTACAATTACTCATTTGTTTTAAAATAATTATTAAAAATTACAAGACCGATACCGGTATAGAATAATAAATAGTCATATATAGATAATTTCTGTTCAATTAAAGTACTTTAATAGCAATATTTTCTTTGTGTTTATTATTACAGTGTTTCCTGTTAAAATGTCAGTTCAGATGTTGAAGATGTGGCAGGATCTGCTTCTGCTGTATTTCGTTACAATTCTGTTAAACGAAGAACTTGCCTCGCAGGCAATGACGTCATCCTCTTGCCCGCCATCATGTAAATGTGATGTTTCACGACGGTACATCACATGCTTTGAAGATTTTATTACGCCGTTGCCTTTTTTATTTCCAAATGATACGAGACAACTTGAAATACGAAAGCAGTATCTACCAGTTCTTAACGCCTCAATGTTCGCCAACCTCGCACAACTTAGAAAGTTGCTGCTGTCCGCAAGTGCCATAGAAGAAATCGAGAATGATTTTACAAAGCTCCAGAAATTGAAACGATTAGAACTCAGTAAAAACAATCTTAGTGATTTAGTATTTAACACTATCGGGCAGATGAAGCAGTTGAAGGAGTTAATTCTAGATGACAATTTACTCACACTTGCTGGAAACAACGTGTTTAATAGCTTAGAGAACGTTGAGCTTTTGAGTTTATCTGGAAATCAAATTGAAGATGTGCCACCTCTACGTGGTCTGGAGGAGTTACAGAAGTTGTACTTGTCAAACAACTTCATTCAAACAATAAACAGAAGCACATTTAATAATCTTTACAAATTGGAGGAACTTTATCTGCAAGGTAACCTTATAACTCAGATAGAACCCGGGTGGGCAAACAATCTCCGTGTTCTTCGTCAATTAGATTTGTCAGAAAACATACTTAGCTTGCAACCGTCACGCAACGTGATCGGACTTCAGAAGAATTCTCTATTGGAGACGTTGTCTCTTTCAAATAATTCTTTACTACAAATACCTTGTCATGATATTTCCAAAACAAAGTATTTAATCAAATTTAATTTAACTTACAATAACATAAGAAATCTTGAAAATGAGTGTTTAAACAAACTTACATACCTGGAGATATTGGACTTGACACATAACAAAATAGAGAATATAGAAAATAATGCATTACAGTCAATGTCAAAGTTGAAGAATTTATTTTTGATAGAAAACAAACTTAAAAATGTACCATCGTGTTGGCTGAACGGTTCAAGGGTTAATCTTGTGAACTTGGCCCACAATGACATCGTTTTTATATCAAACGACACTTTTTCTGGGCTGGAATATCTTGAACGTGTATATTTATCGTACAATAATATTTCATCAGTTGCATCCGGAGCATTTTGTGGCACCAACATCCGTGTATTAAAAATAGATTTTAACAAATTGCAGGCCATTAACAGATCGCAACTTGAATGTGCAACGAATCTGGAAGTCTTAGCTCTCAACAACAACTTCATACAAGAAATTGATCCCATAGCATTCTATGACATTCGTCTATTCAAACTTTATCTTCACTCGAATCAACTTGAAAGCATTTCACATAAATTGATACTACCTAATGATTACGTAATGTTAACGCTTCACAATAACCCTTGGGTGTGTGATTGTCGAATTGAGTGGATGAAAGATTACCTACTCCTTTACGCGCAGCTTGGCAGCAACGTTACTTTTACCCAAAGTGTCATTCAAACTGAAGTCATATGTGCTGGACCAAAATACTTTGCTGGTGAACATATGTCCATTTCTGTTAAATACGACAACGAATTTGATTACCAGTTGATTTGTTCAACTTTCCCTTCGCCTTTGACTATTAAGTTGATTTTAGGAATTTCTATTTCAACTATTGGTTTTGCAGTTTTCGTGAGCATAGTGAAGTTATTTTGTTGATTCACTTACTCTGCACGCTGGTTCACATAAAGCGTATAAGACTCTCACATAATTTTTACCGATGAATTTTTATTTTTTTAAATAATATTATTAATGCTATAAATTTAATAAAGCGTTAAAAGAAAAACAAAATATGCAGTTGCGGAAAAAGTCAGAAATGAAAGTTAAAGAAAAAAAATCTTAAAGTTAGTGAAAATTTGTTGAATTTCAGCCAGGAGGGAATTTCCATGAAAATGAACGTTTACCATGTTTGTCCCATGGCCATGGAACGCGGACCATGCCGCAGTGGATGAGAAAATAATGGAGGAAATGGTGCAATGACACTGCAAGGATGCAGGAGCACTGAAGAGAGTACAAGAACAATGAAGGAGGATTTTTATAATCTTTGGTGACAGGGAGCAAATATGAGTGTATTAAGTCAGAGTGACTGAAGAATGCATGCACCAAAGAAGCAGTAGCAGACGAGGGTTTAGGGCCTGATAGAACTAAGTCTGCAAAGATGGAAGTTCAGAATTTAACAGGTGTTTACATAATATTTGAAGAAATCTAATCTTTGATCAATAAAACTCAAGATTAGCACACACAACGTGTGTATTGTATAGGCCTATGTATATTGGTACCGCAGTAGAAATTTTCTTCTATGCCTACATGCACTAATCAATTCATTGCGGTACCAATATACATAGGCCTATACAGAGCTTCTAATCACATCTATGAATAATAATGAGTATACTAATTAACCTGTTTACCAATAAACTATATAACAATATAATCTATATAGCAATTAACAGTTCCACCATGCACGATTGTTATTCTGCAGTCTCATTCAGAGCCTAGCACCTGATGATTGAGGAAGTACCTCATGAAACAGCCTGTAGTGCAATAAAATGTTGAATTTGTAACCAAGCGTCATCTTGTTTTGATTTTATATTGCTCTGCTTATGTATTGAGCACTGT